AACATTTCTTTATTCATGAGTTTTTTTTCCTAACCACTTAAGGTTCCTCAGTGAAGCATGAAGGCATTGATGAAGAGCACTGATTTCTAGTTGTCTTGAATTCTGTGCCATCAAATGAGCAGCATGAAATGGCATCAACAGGGAGAACTTCAGAACAACCTTTTTAAGTACACGTGTGCAGCAATTAGGACGTTCAAGTCAAATAGCAACTCACCCCTACCCCTTGTAATCTCCTGCTTCAGTGGCTGTGATGATTAACATTTATCCTAGCTTAAGAAAAAAAGAAAATGAAACAAAACCAACAACTCAATCCTACTGGTCCCCACTGAATTCCTTCATCCATTTTGCATTTTTTCGTTGTCTTGAAGCAAGTAGTTCATCATCCCAAAGAATATCTGAAATCGTTGCCATCTACCTCTACCTGGCTGCTGTGGATCATGAAGCTGTGAGGACTGCTGCTCAGATGAAAATAAGCATGGAAGATATGCTATGGACTGAACTGTGTTCTCTCAAAACTCAATTGTTAAAACTCTAATCCCCACTGTAACTGTATTTGGAAATAGAACTTCTGGTAGGTAATTAAGGTTAAATGAGGTCATAAGAGTAGGGCTCTAACCTGTTAGGATTATTGTCATTATATAAGAAAAGACACCAGAAACTCACTCTTGCTCACTCAAGTCTCTCTTTGGCCTTTCTCTCCACCCATGTCTCTCACTCTCTCTCTCCCCTACCCAACTTAATTTCTCACTGTCACTCCTTGTACTATTTGAGGACACACGGAGAAGGCAGCTGTCTGCCAGCCAGGAACCAAATTGGCCAGTACCTCTTGGACTTCCCAGTCTCTAGAACTGTCAGAAATTAATTTGTGTTGTTTAATTTATTCAGCATATGGCATTTTGTTATGGCAGCCCAAGCTAACTAATGTAAGATGGAAGCTTAACTAGGTTTTGTTTCCCTGACAAAATCTTTCAGATTTAGAGGACCACCTATGAGTTTAGGTGATCCCTCTAAGCAGTTTGGAAAATATTTCAAAGTTCTAGAGTCTTAGCCCTGAATATATATTACATATATAATATATAATATTGTATATTATATATATATAATTTATTTATTTATTGCAGCTAGAAGTGCCTTTGGAGGGCAGAGTTGCCGTACACTGAGGAGGAGTACACAGCTGGGAAAGGTCCACCCTGGACAATAAGTCAAAGCCTTAAGATAGACAACTCTTAGTCTCAACTCCCTAATGGGACATTTACATAACAGTGGATGTGCAAACATTTCGTACAGTGTAGAATTACATAACTGCTATGAACTGAACGTTTGTGTCCTCCCCAAATTTATATGTTGGAATCTAACCCTCAATGTGATGATATTTAGAGGTGGAGCCTTTGAAAGGTAATTAGAGTTAGATAAGATCGTAAGGGTAAGACCCTCATGATAGGATGAATGCCCTTACAAAAACAGGAGGAGACATGGGATCTCTCTCTCTGTGTATATGCACCAAGGTAAGGTCATGTGAAGATACAATGGAAAGATGGCTGTCTGCAAACCAGGAAGAGGGCCCTTATCAAGAACTGGCCAGCTGGCATCCTGATCTTGGGCTTCCAGCCTCCAGCACCATGATTTATTGTTTAAGCTACACAAGCTACAGTTGTCTGTTAGAGCAGCCCAAACTGGCTAAGACAATGATATGTTATTTTTCAGAGGAATCAAGGAGAATCCCTTGACAGTGACATAATCCCTTCCAAATCCTTACTTGTGCTTTTCTTTCTTCAGTTAAGGAAGAGGTTTAAAATGACTTGAGAACAATAACCTTCTCTCAGAAAAAGATATGGCTGGAATTGGTCACCTCCAACTTTGTGTGAACTTGATACAGGACTGAGGACTACTCAACACCCCAAAGTGAGACAAAAGAACACAAAGAGGATGGACTTAGTGGCAGATGGCACAGATTTCAGCCTTTTTCAGAGGCAAAGGCATAGCTGTGTTTCCTCTGTTCTGCCAAGGATCTCCCTCTCTCCCTTCCTCTGTCTGGAGCTGTGCTTTCCATGCCCACATCCTTACAAGTTCAAGTATCTCCCCTGCCCTCATCTCCTAAGGGAAGGGCCAAGGGGGTTCTCATTAATAAGAACAAATGGTGCTGGCTGCAAGATGTTGGCCAATAATGAGGTCAAATTCTGAATCTTTTGGCTTCAAATTTTGCAATGATTCCTCATTTCTCATTTAACTGTTTCCAATCCACCATTCTCAGATATGCTGTTATTATCATGGGCTAGGGATATCTATGTGAAGGGCTGGTTTTCTTCTTGGGTTTGTCCTTGGCAGGGGTGCTTTGCATTAGCCATATGTGATAGTTTATGAACGAAAGTGCCTCTGGGGATGCCTCTCCATGTCCTAGAGAGCATTTGTTCTGTCACTGAAGGCTCTATGATTCCCATATTCTACTTTGGCATTTTCTAAAACAAAGGAAGAGAAGGATCTGGAAGGGAGAGATGGAGTTGGGAGAAAGGAAGAAAGAATGAAGGGTAACAGGCACTAATAATTTTATATTTCTATAGTTCTTTATAGTTTTTATACAAAAAAATTTGCAAAGTGATTTTTTATTAAAGGCACAATCTTATTTGGTTTTTACACCCACTGGATTTATAGATAAGGAAACTGAGGTTTAGAGAAAGTAATTAACCAGCTAACTAATAAATATCAATGTTCTATTTGGATTCCAGTCCTCCTGAAATCATAGTTTTTCCATATATAGTTTCTTTTCCATTCTGTTCATTTAAATGCAAAGGCATGCTCCAACTTCCTCTTTTTGAACCCATGCCAAGCACTTGTAGGTAAAAGCTGAAAGTCTTAATCGTCAGCATAATTATTCAACACTTACTAGAATTTTCCTGAGGATGGGCTGGTAGACGTTGAGTATTCAACCAGAAATAATTATTCTACAAATACATTTATTAATGTTTTTGAGCACTTCGTAGTTGACAAAATATTTTCATATCTAAATCTTGTTTGAGGCTCATATAAGCCATGTGTGTCTCTCAGAAGTCCAGTGATTGGCCCAAGATTTCTCAACTATTGAATGATGGAGTCAGGATGAACCCCTAGATTTTCTGATTCTGAGGTTCGTGCCTTTTCTGTTATCACGTATTTCCTCCACTGCTATGTGCCTAGTCATGTTAGCCTCTGCAGAGAGCATAGCACAGATTCTGTCCTTAAGGAACATGATCAACTTGGAGATCAAGTCTCCCAAACCTGAAAGTAGAAGAGCTCATAACCCTAACCTCTAAGCAGGACTGGCTACATAATTTGTGGGATACAGTATAAATGAAAATGCAGAGCCTCTTGTTTAAGTATTTCAAGATGGTGACAGCAGAGAATGAAACCCAGCAGTCCTCTGAGTGTGGGGGCCCTCCTGAGCACAAAGCCCTATACAACGCACTTGTGTGCCCATGAAGCCAGCCTACCTCTGACAGTAACTCAGAAGCAGATGACCTCATTTCTTTTTCAGACCCTTTCTTGGGTACCTATCAAAGAGCCGAAGTTCCAGGTCATACGGACTGTCCTCTATTAAGTCTTTTATTCCCTCAGTTGTCATTCAGAGAGCTAAGGCATATCATGGCCCAGTGTTTCTTATTATACCTGTTAAGTCCAGTTTTTATGAATGAAAATTTAGGCACAGAATCACAATATCATTAATAGCTAATATTTAGTGAGCATCTACTATCAGAGGCCCAGGGCAAAAATGTTTAAATATTTTAAACTGATTGCAAAAGTGGCTTCAATTCTGTATCCTTCTCTATCCCTTGTGCTGTGACTTTGCAGCTTTTCCCATCAAGAAGTAGCATCTTCACCTTTTGAATCTGGATGATTCAGTGAATTGTTTTGGCCAATAGAATGCATCAGAAGAGATGGTGTGCTAATTCAGGATCTTGGCCTTAAGATGCTTGCAATCTTCAGCCGTATCTCTTAGAACTGTGGGATTACCATGAAAACAAGCCTACTATGCTACCCTGCTAGAAATGAGTGTCTCTTGGAGGAAGGCTGAGTCATCCCAGTTGAGACCATCCGGAGTGGCCAACCTCCAGTTGACCTGCCAATTAACAATAGATGTATGAATGAGCTTAGCTGAGGTCGGGCAGACATAGTCCAGATCAGCAGAACCATTCCACTGATCAACTCACAGACAGATAAAAAATGATAAATAGTTGTTGCTTTAAGCCTCTATCTTTGGGAAGTGGTCGGTTTTGTATGATTATGATGCTAATAGATAACAGATATGCAAGCATTGTTATTTCCATTCTCTTGATGAGGAAATATGCGAGGTTAAGTCCAGACCTGTGATCAGTAGCTAATAAATAAACCCAGAAAGTTTAACTCCAGAGACCAAATTCTTATCTGTTATTTTTTTGGGTCCTATTATAACACTCATGACTCTGTCAAGCACTCAGCTAATCTGAAAGCCATTTGAGTGGAGGAAGCAGTGCTTTTGCTGATAGGGGCAGGCCCAAAAGATAGAGCTGAAACACTAGGAGTCTCTGCTGATAAAATATCACGTTAAGTTATTAACCAAAACACAAAAAATAAACAAAATAAAATGCTGTAATTTATCAAGGGAAAAATGCATATATGCAGAACAAGAGAGACAATGGCTATGAAGTCAAGGTCACAAGCTAAATGCTAGCAGAAATTTTGATTGCATCTCATTAACACTAAATTGTGATTGAGTTCTGTAAGAGGTTCAAGTGACAGTCCCATTAATGCAAATGGCATTTCTTATGTCTGTTTTTGCAAATGAAAACAAAATACAATTATATTAGTAGAATTTGCTCATTCAACTAAACTAAAATCCATCACCAAGTATCTCTCCACCTCCACTTCTGCCCCCCACCACCATCCTTGATCAAAAGTAATTGCTCCCCAGAGTATCAAGTGGGCCTTTTGGTAAAATAGGGTTGCACAGTTTAATCATAGTGGGGGTACCAAAGTACATGAGTTCTTACAGATATCGAAGGTTGGGAAGGTTCTGGAAGGCCTCAGGGTTGATGTTGAGCAGGTTGTTGGCCTTTTCAATTCTACTGTAAAAGATGAAAAAACATACTAGTGATCTTGATGGTAAGGAATGCTGTAGTATTTTTCACATTTTACAGAGTAAAATAATAAATCAATTGTATCCACTCATCCGCCCATCTATTCATCCATCCATCCATCCATCCATCCATCCATCCATCCATTTCAATAAATACTGAGGGAGCATGCAGTGCCTTTTATTACACTAAGCTGTGCAAACTAAATATTAACCCTGTCTCCCCACTGCTTCATCCTCATTACCTGGGCCCTGTCCACTGGAGGCAAACACAGCATTGGCTGGGTGAGTTCTCGTCACCCTGAGCAGAGCTGCATCTTTAACCAGTAAGAATCTCCCAGGGTTGGAGGAGGCTAAGAGGTTAGGAATGAGACTGGGGAAATGAGCTTTTGTCTGGTCAGGAGGCAAGAGAAAAAGAAATGAAAGTAATGAAAAAGAGCAATGAAAAATGGAAAAGAGGTGAAAAGAAGAAAAGGAAAAAGAGTGAAGGGCCAAAAGATATTGGAGGAAAAGAGAGTGAAATGGCAAAGAAAAAGAAAGTTGGGAGAAAAACAATCGATATCTTTTTGCTTTTAACCATGAAATCCAAGCATTCAGTAGCTGGGAATGGCCACTGATTCCCTTTATGCAGTAGACTGAGGCTGCTCACTCAGAGCTCATGGAAAGCAGTGACTTCTGCCCTGTGTTGGCCTGTGCTGTGTCTTGATCAACAGTCTGGAAGTGAGCCTGTTCACATTTGGATTCCAACACAGAGAGCCTGCCCTTTCCTTGTCTTGCTGGATCAATGTGTATTTGCAGAGATGCTCTCTGTTAATTACTTCCTCCCTGTTTCATTAGCTTTTATGTTGCTGTAACCTGTAGCTACCCAGATCTAAGTACCAGGCAATTAATCATTTTAAGTACAGTCAGTGCTACATGGAGGTGAGCACCTCTTCATGCAAGGAAGAGATGAAAGACCCAAACCATTACCTTCACTGTCCATTGAAATGTATCAAGGGATGCCTGCTTGACCTTGCCCAGAGGGCTGGCTGCCCTTTGGTTCATTTCTCTGATAATCTCTGTGGGTTCTTCCCAACTAGGTCAAGCAGAAAGAGAAGAAAGGAAGAAGCATGAAGGTAATGGAGAGGGGGAGGGTGAACATTGAGTGCAGAGGCAATGAGGAAAAATGAAGATGGGAGGCAGAGTGGGTAGAAGGAAGTAAAAGGGAGAAGGGGGGATTGCCAAATGAACAGACTGAGTGTCATTCCTAAAGAAATTCACACACACACCCGTGCACACACACACACGTGTGTGTGTGTGTATTTGTCCCCTACTGATACTTGGCAAATGCTAAAAACAAAATTCATCCTTGTTAAAAAGATAAAAAAGAGTCAAAAGATTAATGTTCAAGTTCTTATTTGCATGTGGATTTGGCCAGGTGACCTTAGAGAAGTCTTACAAATTCTCTGTGCCTTTCCTTCTTCATCTGTAAAATTATGAGGTAGTTCATTTCCTTTCCTAAATGTGTTCCATGGGAATTTTGTGAGATGGTAATCGACAGTCTCTAAGAAAACTTTCCAGTGATGTTAGTTGACAAACACTTATACAGTATCTTTCTTGGAGATTCTAAATGTGTATTAGCATATTATAGACTCTGAAAAATTTTCCTATAATAAGCTAATCTGTGTAATTTTATTTACCTAATATTTCCTAATCTTATTTACCTAATATTTCCTAATCTTATTTGACCTTTTTAAAAAATACCTAATAATTTCCTGAGTTTTTAGTGATATACAGAATATATTTTGAAAAATTGTTGACCAGTCTCTAAAGTCTCTACTGGCTTTGGCATTCTATGATTCTATGAATTAATTTATAGTAATTTTAAACTGGTATGAAACAGAAGTGGATCTGTGTGAGCAGTGCTATTATGTAAAACTGGAACATCAATAAGAGAAAGTAAATTTGGCTGAAGTAGCAGAGGAACCAAGGATCATTATAACATACTCACTCTAGGCCAGTCCATATGCTAGATTTAATTGGCATTTATCATCTCCTTTATTCATCACAGTAATCCTATGATATATGTAATTTTATTATTCCAGTTTTACAGATGAGAAAACTAAGTCTCAGATAGTTACCTGTCTTGGCTAAGGTTTCATGGTAAATATATGGTATAGGCTAGTAGTCAGACCAGGACTAACCAACTTCAATTACATCATGTGGGACTTATTTTGGGCTTTGACTAGAATAACTTTGTATGGAAGGATGACATGGAGGTGCTTGCACATAGCTACTGGGCAAAGTTCTTGAGTCTATGATGCAGAATGATGACAGGCAGGCAACAGGATGAGACTAGCCTCTGAGCTGGTGCCTGGATCACCAGAGACATGTTACAGTGACTTTTAGGCTGATTTGGACATCTTATAATGACAATCTAGGGATCTAAGGAATATAGAATATATTCATGGAATATATTCTCAGGAATATAGAAGAACTTTAAGGGTTTCTTTTCAAGAATGGCCATGAGCAAATCCCCCAGGCTTCTTGCTTACATTTCGTGTAATTTGGGAAGGCTGGAGAACACATCTGCCTCTATCACCTCCAAGACATCATTCTGAGAGATCTCTCTGTGGAGAAAAAAAATATATGTATATATATAAGTCAAGCCAGTTCAGTTACACTCCTTGAATATTTTTAGGGCTCAGCATAGAGCCTTGTGCCTGGGAGGATTCATGAGACACACAAAACTCCTTTCCTACCATCAAAGAAGTCAGCTGTAGTAATGGGACGAAACTAACATACTGGAAGCTGAAACTTAAAGAACAATGGGAGAATAAGTTGAAGGCCATGGTTCACCTTGGAGATTATCCAGTCTATAGATGTAGAAAATGAGGTCCAGGAAGGAAGAGATTTGCTTAAAGATATTTAGGAAATATACAGGATGAGAACAAAATTTAAGTTCCCTAGACCACGGGTCGGTAAACGTTTTTTTGTTTTTTTTTTTTGTTTTTTTTTGTTTTTAACAGGACTCGATAGTAAATATTTTTTTGCCCTTGCTGTGGTTATTTGGTCTCTATCACAACTGCTCAACTGACATTGTAGCCCAAATGTAACCAAAGGGAACACATGAATGAATTAGCCTGACTGTATTCCAATAAAACTTTATCCACAAAAACAGGTGTCAGGCTGGATTTGACCCATTGGCTGTAGTTCAGTGACACTGCCCTAGATCGTGGAGTTGTTTTCTTTCTGCTAATCGGGCTTTGGGAGATGAGGACCTCAATCCAGTTTCTTTTAAAAGAAACGTATATTTGTTGGTCCCATGAATGTCTAATGTAGGAACAGAAAGCCAAACACCGCATATTCTCACTTACAAGTGGGAGCTGAACAATGAGAACACATGGACACAGGGAGGAGAACAACACACACTGGGGCCTGTCAGGGGTAGGATTGAGGAAGGGAGAGTATTGGGAAAAATAGCTAATGCATGCTGGGCTTAATACCTAGGTGATGGGTTGATAAGTGCAGCAAACCACGATGGCACATATTTGCCTGTATAACAAACCTGCACATCCTGCACATGTACCCTGGAACTTAAAAATTAAGAAAAATAATACAATAAACATAGATTTAAATCCCTTTCCACTCCATGCCATTACCTAGGTGGAGGTTGTTGCACGGCCATGGCCATTAATGATGTCTTGGCTTAGAATACACAGAAAAGATTCCTCAGGTCTCAGTGTTTTTTTCTCCCAGAGTAATTTGAGGGCAGAAGAGAATGAAGTCCACTAGGCAGAAGCCCAGAGGTTGTGAGGAGAGAGGGCAACTTAATCAGTTAATATTTATAAAGTATCTCACAGATGAAATGTGCTATTATTAGGCCTCCTGAGGAAGACTTTTATGCAGTTTTAATGCGGCAGCTGAGAGTGTCTCAGGAAATCTCACAGGCAGCATGCATTCAAATTGACTGAGGTAGAAAAGCTGTCTGCTGGCCTAGGATTTAGCGGAAGAGTTCTAGAAAGGCTCTTGATCTAGAGAAAGGCCTGGAGGGGAGGCAAAAAAAGAAGGCCCATGGGGGAGGGCAAGTGTGACTGTGAGCAGCAGCAGTCTGCTGGTGCATCTGTGACTGGTGTATCTGTGACCGGGGACTGGTGACATCTGTGGCTTGTTAACCCAGTGGGGGCAGGGCCATTTCTCAGAAGCCCCCATGAATGAGGAGACATTTTGTGAGAAGAGCTCCTCTTATTCCATAATAACATCTTTTATGATTTATTTGGTAAATTAAAGTCCTCACTATTTGCACAGTTGAACATAGATAAGGGTGGGGTATGTGTTTTTCTAAATATATATATACATATATATACACATATGTATATATATACACGTATATGTGTGTGTATATATAATACATATTTAGAAAAACACATACCCACCCTTACTATATTCTATGTATATATGTGTATATATGTATATATTATCTATATTCTACATATATATGTATATGTATGCATATATATATATATAGAGAGAGAGAGAGAGAATGAACATCATGCTGGCTATTGGCCATTTATTATTTCACTCTGTGTCCCATAAGTACAGGGACATCTGGGAGGTACAGAATTGAGAAGAAGGGGGAAAGGGATGGAAGAAGGAGGCATTTATTTGAATGCAGTAGAGTGAAAGAATGGCACAGGTAGAGAATAAGGAATTCAGGAAAAGGCTAGCTAATAGGAAGGGCTCAAATGCAAATAAGGCCATCTCCTCCAAAAGCTATTTCCAGGTTCACTAGCAGTTAGCAGTACATTTGGTCACCACTCGTAGAGATATTATGTCCTTGCCGAAATTCACACATTGAGAATTCCCTTATCTGGGTTTGTTTTTCAAAAAGAACTAGAAATTATTAGAACAAACAAAGTAAAGAAACGCTTCTAAATTAGTGATTTCAGGAAGTAGTCCATATTTGACGGTCTCAACTTCAAAGACAGTACCGGGTGTTAGAGTTGGGTAGGGGTATGCCTTTGGCCTGACAAGGGTTGGGGGCAGGTGAACAGGGTACAGTCATGGAAAAGTCCTTCATCGAGAAATTTAGACATCTTATTCCGATCTAACCCAATTCTGTCTCTAGTTATTACTATTATAATTTATTGGGTGTTTACTGTTTATCAGCCACTTTACCTACATACTCTATAATCCTTTTGACATGCCTGTGAGGTTGGTATTTTGGTCTCCACATTAGTAAATGGCCCCGCCTGTGTGAGGGACCAACTGTGACTGACAGAAGGGCTCACACACTTTCTTCTACCCGCCCTGCCTCCCATGCCATATTGAGCACCCCTCTGGACCTTGGATTCTTTGTTGTAAAATAAGGGGATAGATGAGATCATTTGTCTTTTCCAGAACAGTGCAAGGAGACTTCATCCTCAAGCACGGAAGCTCTGTAGAAGAGTATTTTCAGAGATGAGTCTCTCCTTTACTTGTCTTTTAGGATGGCGCTTCTCAAATGTTAACACACATGAGAATCACCTGGAGATCTTTTTAGAATGCAGATTCTCATTGGGAAGGTCTTGAGTGGGGCCTGAGGTCCTGCATTTCTAATAGTCGGGGTGCTGGTCATACTTTGTATCGCAAGGTCCTCTAGGGAAATAGTAATAATATGCTATCAGACTTTTTGCCCCAATGTACATATTCATAGGTGGATATGCAGAGTGTGATAGAAGAGCTCCAGGGGAATGAAGTAGTTGGTTTAGAAAAATCTGCATTCCCTCTGAAAAGCCTGCTTTTACTCTACCAGCATTGAAGTTTTCCTATTGTCTAGCTTCTCACAAGATCTTTTCCATTTCTCAGTTAAAGCAATCACCACCATGTTTTGTTATTGCTTTTTTTGGTCATTGTCTAATTCATCTGTTTTTGTATCTCCAGCATCTAGTTATAAGTTGATGTGTAGTTAGTGCTCTATAAACGATTACTGGATGAATGAATGGATCAAAGGGTAGACTAAGGAAAAGAAATCTTAAGGCCTATAAAAGTCATCTGCTAAACTGAAGGAAGTGAAGTTTGTGGCATTCTTTCACCCCCTTTTCTGCAGGCAACATATCTAAGTCCAGCAGGTGACAGCCCAGCCTAGCTTGTCTGACTTAGGATTTTGTTCCAGGGAATTTTACTAAAACAGAGTATAGCATGCAAGTGACACATTCAAATATTTGGTCTGCTGAATGTGTAGTATACCTTTATCTGTGCCTCTCTGGGTCACAGCTCTCTCCCTAGGCCTTCTCTGGCTATCAGATGAGGTCCTTGAACTGACAAAACACCCATAGAAAATAAAACAGGAGAGAGGACTGGTGACTATAGGGGTTCATTGAGTATCTGACCAGGGGTTAGAGAAGATGACTTTTAAGGGCCCGTCTGTACATGAGATTCCATGTTTGTATGAAGGATAGGGACATGTGCTTGCATGAGGTACCGGGGGTTATCAAGGCATTCTCTCTGGAGTGAGTTTCAGAGCCATTATCAAATTCCTTTCCTTCAAATATACAAGTACATTTGATGGAGGGGTGGGGTAGGGTGTTTTCCAATATTGCGGACTTTAGGGAGCGAATGAGCTTATTGAATTTGGTCTGCTCCAGCATAAAGTTTCAACCTGTTATAGAGTCATATTAATTTGTTCACTGTTACAGCTGATACTCATATGTCAAGTGCTAAACTGATTCTGAGTAGAATTGTTACTGGTTTATTGGATGCAAAGAACTGAAGAGCTGTGACCAGTAGTTAAAGGCCTCACTTGGATTTCCATGACATGAATTGGAGAACAGGATGGCACATGTATACCTATGTAATCAACCTGCATGTTCTGCATATCATGTATCCCAGAATTTAAAGTAAAATTTTAAAAAATGAAAATAAGGGCCGGGTGCAGTGGCTTATACTTGTAATTCCAGTTCTTTGGGAGGCCAAGACAGGTGGATCACTTGAGGTCAGGAGTTTGAGAGCAGCCTGACCAACATGGTGAAACCCCATCTCTACTAAAAATACAAAATTAGCCAGGTGTGGTGGTGCACGCCTGTAATCCCAGCTACTCGGGAGGTTGAGGCAGGAGAATCACTTGAACCTGGGAGGAGGAGTTTGCAGTGAGCCGAGATTGTGCCTAAACTCCAGATTTTGGTGAGTAAATAATATATCCCTGAAATGAATAGGATAAAAAATGAAAATAAAAGAATAAGCATCAAAAACTCACAGGAACTTCTTTTTCACTTTGTTTCTGATAGAGGTGATATAGTCCCCTCTGGGTCTTTCCCATCTTTTCCCTCCTCCCTTGCCTCTCTCTTCACAGAGCATTTTTCTCTAATATATCCAAAATATTTCTCCCTAACTCAGTAAATTAAGAGATTAAATTGCATTAAAATATCTGTAATAGTCACCGAATCGAATTTCTTTCTTTTGTTTTTAATAAGCTCAAACTAAATTTAGTTGACTGTTTTCCTGTCCTGAGTCCCCAATAGTTAAGGATTTCCATAGACCCTCTATTACCGCCCCTTGCATATTGCATTGGGTTTGCATTCTGCTTTGTTTCCCTCACTAGGCTAAGAACTGCTGGAGGACAGTGACATTGCCCTTTATCTTAATATTCCTG